TTCAGGTCATCGATTTATATACATATGTATGTGTCTATATCTTATATACTTCTTTTAGTCATGTCAGAAAATGGGGGGGGCCGGGCGACGAAGAAAAAATTGCAGTTTTGGGATATACTGATATACTGGTGGTGGGTTCGTATAGATCTTTCCTGTATGGGCTCCTTTTCTTTCTTACGTTCCTTTTTTTTCTTTTTTTTTCTTTTTTATTTTTTATTTTTTATTTTTTTTTATTTTTTTTTTTTTTTCGTTGTACTGTATATTTTTTGTTGCTGCTTTGAATTTATCGCCCTGATGTTTGGTGATATATATCTTTTATACTCCGTAGTTGAGAGGCAATCTTTTGGAGGAGAATGATCTGGTTGGTTCATTCACTCCATAGTGAGTGGGTAAGAAAGGCTGAACGCCTGTCCCACCTCCTCCCCAAAACCGCCTAATACATACAGAAAAATGGATCTCATCACGCAGCACAGAGTTATCCATGAAGCAGAAAATTCTATTTTCTCCATTGACTCATGTTCGTGACCTGGCATCCTCCTTCAACCCGGTCAATTAGGAGTGACGCATACTATTCAGTGAACGTGAAAAAGGTGGCTTTAGTATCCGCGATGAGGGTGCAGAATTCGGGAATAATTACGGTATTAATATTACTCTCCCGGAAAGCTACCGGCTATCTAAATCTTAAAGGAATGGAGTCTTATGTTGACTTCTTCGGTCTGATGACCTATGTTTTGCACGGGTCTTGGACGGCGAGGATGAGTATGGAAAAGTACTGCAGACCATACTAACATTCTTGGGGGCCTATGGCTCCTCCGCCTTGGTTTGCTATAATCGACAGCAAAATCAAATTTGGCCTCGCTTATTATGGAAGAGGCTTCACTCTCTCCGATTCAAGGCGCAACATAATTGGTTGCCCTTGCACCATGACCCTGCCAGAGATCGAAAAGCTAATCCTAGAAGCAAAGCTCACCCTCTTTCACTCTCAACCGCCAGAGGGTCGAGTGTCTCATTCTGCCTTCCATTGGTAGCTTGCTTTCGAATTACCGAGACTTATTCGACTGCGGGCTCTCCTTCGTTATGATGGATATTCATATGTTTCAAGGGTAGGAAAAGCCCTTTTTAAGTGAAAACAGTCTGCGAATGGTGTGTCTTCCTGCTTCGTCCTTCGAATACCCGCGGCTAACGGTTTGAAGTAGCATCAACGAAGCCATAAAATCAAAAAGCGAGGAATGTTTCGAATGCGATTTCCAATGCACATTTTTTCAGCTCTACTGTTTCATCTTGAACCGGGTTGCTGCCCTTCTGAGATTGATAACGATGATATCATCGAGTTCGCTTTTGAGTACTACCAAAGCAATAAGTATACTAGATGAGTTGTGACAACTACCCTTCTCGTGTCCCACATGTAATCTGCCCTTTGAATGATTTTCGGGCTTGTTTCCGCACTGCGAGTTGGTATTTCATAAAGAAATTATGACCACTGCAAAGAGTTTCATGTTGAGCTAATTGCCACTTTGTAGATAGAGAGATCATTTTATAGTCTGCAATAAAAACATGGCATTCTATAGTCTATACCTGATTGAATTGTATCTTCATGAATTTATAATCTGCTTTTTTAACTTCACTAAACTGATAACAAAACCAAAGATCTGTTTTGTTTGTCTTAATAACGGGGCTAATTGTTCTTATAGATTGTCTGGCGAGCTGACTGAATATCACATCAGATACCACCTTGATAAATTTCAAGCCAATATTTAGCATTTCTGTTCCTCATATACTATTCTCACGAATATAACAAATACTCAATTACCCCCTACCACTCCTCAGAACAACTCAATCTGACTTCTGAGGACGGGGATAGATCAAATATCCTGTCTTACTGTGATGAAAGATTGGGTGCTCTCAACTGATACTCTTGTCCATTGCGGAGCACTCTTCATAACAAACTCAACAGATTATACTACTAAACAGGTTAAGCATTTTTGTAAAGGGTTAATTACGATGGTCTCATGGGAAATACTTCTGATCTCATATATTCGAGCTTGACAGGTAGGTTGACTGCAATATTCACAGTCTGGAAGTTCAATCAAGGTGCAGGACAGACAACGAGGCGGGTCTGCCTTCAATAGGTCCGCAATAGTCCACAGACACACACCGCACAATCCATCTCTATTCACAATATTTGCATGTCGGCCTGCCCTCCTGCTATAGAACTGCGGCGGTGACAAGAACACCTACAATACTCACCAGGCGAAATGCTATTGCTGGCCCAGTTTCCGCCGCAGAAATACCACACTCACTGGGAGAAACCTGTAAATCTGGAGTGGGCCTGCATTTGTAATACTGGCTGCAGAAGCAGCATATACCTGAACAGATAGACCATCACGCTTGATATGGATGGCTCTCTTACGTTCAAATTCTGGAAATTCATGGTTATTTTCGAACTGCTGCTGAATTAGTTCCGCCACTCGCTGGGGGGAATGGCGCAAAGACAAAATACGTACGATGTTGTTCCATGCATTCATCTTGATCAAATCGAGCAGTGATCTTTGTGATGTAGTGCTGCTTAACTAGTTGGGAGGGCGTAATCGAGGTATCCAAATTGAATTTTCTCACATTGTATGTAAGTTATAGCTCATGCTTGAAACTGATGAGGCTGAGAAAGTGTTGGGCGGAGGGAACGCATGCAGGATTCATCACCATTGTGGCCAATTCTTTGAGTCTGCCATGATAATTGCTTATATTGTGCCTCACATGTGATGTGTCATTTAACGGATTTCTTGAGGTGGTTCCAGCCTTGCGAGATGGCACCTTGTCAGAAGCAAGGCAACCCATTGTGGATGCGGCGTTGCCAGATTCTCGTCTAGCTATCTGGATAGTTTTGCTGCCCCCTCGAATGTGAATATGTATTGGATAGTACGGAGTAAACAGGAGAGATATTATGCATTTTTTATTTATAACGTCTCAATATATCGGTCCTGTATAAATATCGGAGCCGGGCTCGATAATCTGGTCCTGCCAAATGATTGTTTGCTTGGAGTGAGAAATTTGGCTTTCGAAGCATCCAATGGGGTGATAGCTCAGTTGGGAGAGCGTACGACTGAAGTTAAACTTCGGTTCAAGATTACAATAATCGTAAGGTCGCTGGTTCGATCCCGGCTCGCCCCATATTTCTTTTTCTTCTTTTTTTTTATTTCTAAAAAAACCTCTGCTTTGAAATACTAACAAAAAGGAACTTCGTTCGTTCTTTTCTTCTTCCTTTTTTGGACTCAGCAACGAGATTTCCCCAAGAATTAATACTACCAGTATGTGAGAAAGGTAAGATTCCTTTCATACTCTGTAAAATACATACGAGAAGTTGTTCAATCTGCATAATCAACTTCTACGGTGACGGGGACAGGCAATGCGCTTTGCAGTGGATATGAAATGAGTAGCAGGAGCTGCTGCAACCCGCCAACTCAAACAACCCATCATGAGGTTCAGGGTCGGTAGTGAGAATGTATCCCTGATGTAAGCCTTGGCTCGGATTGTTGCGATAGATAGTTATTTAACACGTATGGGTAAATTCATCTGTAGCCTCACTGTGAACGGTAGGTTTTTTGTGAACCGAACAGAAAACCAAGTAGAATATTTTCCCAGACAGGGGTCGCCGCGTGGGGGTTGACCATTATCGTTTATTTGATCAAGTTAAATTTTCGCTGTCTTTTCTGAATATATATGTGCAGGCCCCTGGCTTGGTATAAATAAATCTTCCATACGATCAGTAATCATCTCAAGAGACGTCTGCCTGGCCCTCTACTGGTCAACGAAACCTGCTGCTCAAATTCATGCTAGCGACATATGTAGCTCATAGTAATACAACATCTCTTGGTTCGCCGAGTAAAGTTTTGGTCACAGAAGGTCGGCACCTTCAGAATGTTGCCCCTCAAGGGCGATTGTGTTTGAGCTTGCGTCTGTAAGCGCCAGGGCAAGTGAGGAAAAAGCATCAATCTGTAGCAATATCTAAACAACTCCTTTAGTTCAACAAACGTGGCTCGTTGTTGACATTCATGAACACCACTCAATCACGCTGGGCGGGAGCAGCGTGTTGTTCTCAATGCCTACTCGCGGCAACTGCAAGTCAGCGGTCGGATCTGTCGCACAGCTTGCTATAAATCCTATTCATGTCAGGGGTGATAGCTCAGTTGGGAGAGCGTACGACTGAAGTTAAAACTTCGGTTCAAGGTTATACAATAATCGTAAGGTCGCTGGTTCGATCCCGGCTCGCCCCACAATTCAGATTTTTTGACCCTTTTTTGATCTCATTTTTCTATTTTTTTTAAATTTTATTTTGGGCATATAAATATTTTTATTCGAATAAAAAAAAACTTTAGCAAATATGCCATTTTTATTAGAATCTAGGCTCCAGCACGGAGGATCCAGACAATGACAGAGAAGCCAGACAAGAGCTTATAAGGAGCCATGGTTGAGGTCTGAATATTCCTATTTGAGCACGCTCCCGTGACGATGGATCTTTCACGTCCATTACTCCTTACTCTGTACAGGGGGTCCGGCTAGTCGCTGCTAGCACCTGGCAGCACAGAGCAATGTCTCCAATTCTGTCATAAGAAAACAGCGAATAATCAGAATATCCCAAAATCTTAATGTTGTCGGAATACCAGGGCGGGATCTTAGGTAGGGCGGAATCTTCAAGAGGGTGATCATCTCAAGAAAGCGCGAGTCTTCAATATATCATAAATCCCTGCACATACAGGGAAGCGGTGTGCAGAATTCCATCCGCTCTGTCGCTGATGTAAAGAAAACGAGGAGGGCCTATCGTGACGATTTTTTCATATATCGAAGCGCTAGCTGTGGACTCTCCTGCGTGGAGGTATTTTTACAATTCATTGAACACTGTTAGCCAAAGATTTATGAGGATGATTTCTTGATCATCCAATGGGGTGATAGCTCAGTTGGGAGAGCGTACGACTGAAGTTAAAACTTTAGTTCAGGTTATCAATAATCGTAAGGTCGCTGGTTCGATCCCGGCTCGCCCCATATTTCTTTTTTTTCCTTTTGTCGCTTTCACCTCTAGTTTCAATCAATTTTGTA